TAACCTGCAACCTTTCAGACAGAAGCCCAGAATCTAAACCACCATAGGCCGCCACTCAGGGCTTGTTTTTAGCATGTCATATGTGGGGTGTCGGGTAACATGTTGTGTGTTGGGGACATAGATAGATGCATGTGACCTAATTATGAGAAACATGCAAATCAACCAGTTTACACAACACAGAAGACATGCAGGATGAGTCCATGAGGTCACAAGTCACCTCAAGACACTTCTACGTCCTACTATAGATAGCTCGTTTTTTTTATCCTGAGCCAGTAAATCTCATAAAATAAAATGAAATTCCTTTCGATTTGAAATGACAAATAAATGTAGAATTGAAGGTGTTATGAACTTCATATTGCACCATCACAAAAAAGATTTACCAGGAATGTAATAATATTGCAAGGGTCAACAACACTGAGTTTGGGATTCATTAAACACACCCGCAAGCGTAATTTTATTGTGTGTGCGTATAGTATCTCTATCTATAACATCAAAGAGCAAATAAATAACAGTGTAAATGGTCAAAGATCAACAGAGCTGTCTTGTATAAAGCCCTTGACTGTGATTTGTGTAATATGGAAACATTCTAGTTATCTAAAAATATTTCACGAATAATTCCTCTGACCTACAAGCAGCTATCAGATGATTTCTGAAGTCTGGAGCATTAAAAGACCTCTTTGTTGAAGAAAGCATCTGGTCTGAGGAAGTGTGCATTTCATATACAGTGACTCAGATGTAAATTAAAGACCCCCTACTGGCCCCATTCAACAGAAAGCTTCTAGTGGCAGCACGTTTGGATTGTTTACATATAAATACAGCACTTGGTATGGCATGTGTTAGTGAGTGTTGATGGAACAAGGTTTTCCATGTTTGCAATGAGAAAACATTGCTTATTAACACATAATATAATAAAGCATGTATCCATTTAAAATTATTTATTTTCAGCACTGTAAAAATGTATACAAACACTTAGACTCTCTTCACCAATTGATTAAAATCTTCAATTTTTCCTTATATAAATCCTATAATGACCGTCTGAAAAATATAATGACATTCTGATAATAATCTTTCAAGTTCCTGCTACTCTTATGGCATGAGGTGGCACACCTCTCTCTTTAAGATCAGTTTACTCTTAAGAGCAGAAGAGACTCCAGCTCACTTATAAATAGAACAAGATTTATCTGCAGTGCAGACCAATTTAAAGCATTTAATTATTAAACTTGTGGCATACAACATGAAGTACAAAAAAAATTCTAATGTATTCTTTAAAGTTTTTTCCCCCCACTTTTTATTTAACTTTTGTTTTTATTTGTCAGTGTACTTGATTTCATTATTTCATTTACACATAATAGCCCTACCTAAAATGCTTTTCTAGTTTATTTAGTTTACTTGGTATTTTTCTGTTATTCTTAAAAATAAGTAAATAAAAAAAAAATTATAAACTGGCAAAGAATAGACGAAACGCGACAAAATAATATTGGTCAAAATAATAAAATACCATTAAACGCGCATAACGCCACATTCATACAGCACGCGTTCGACGCGACGCGACTAAACCAGAACGCTCACGATCTATAATCAACGAAGCTAGCGTCTCACAACAAATCATAGGTTTAAGCAGCGGAAGTTTTCATAAACCTAAAAACATTTTAATGTCCTCTTTCCCCCTGCAGGACAGATCACATTACAAGGCGGGAGACCCCGTGCGCCCCGTCCCACGTTTTCCTGCCCTGCCTGACAACGGAGCGCTGCTGTGAATGAAGCCACCATGTGCTGCCCGTCCGCGCGAGTTTCAGATTGATTGATTTGTAAATATAATTATAGTAAGAGAGCATTAATTAAATACATTTTCAGAACCAATGGACGATTTAGAAAACGCCAGAGCAACTGGGTTGGCTGTACCAGATGTTGGTCTTACCTTGCAGCTGGTCTCAGAGCAGAACAGACTGGATCCAGTGATACTTGTGTTGCTGAAAAACTTCTCTCAGATTGTGTCCTCCGGCTCAGGCGTCTGTGGTTATGTGGGCTGAGTCTCCTGACAGGTGGTGTGTGTGTCTGGGTCATTTGCTATGTGTAAGGTACATGGATCAAGTTTCATCGCGGTTTTGTACATGCTCCTCCCGACTTTTGCTACTCGCTGGAAAGAAACCGGCATGCAAAGAGTAACATTTAGGGTTAAATCTTTAAAGCAATAAAAAGAAAGTTTGCAGATCAAATATAATTAATTTAATTTAGGAAAGGATGAAGAAGTTGCAGCCTACACTAAAACCTTGATCCCAAAAATTCTTAAATCCAGATAAATATATTAAAAGCAAATACCACAACAAGTACAATTTTGCTTGGTGTAGGCTATTATTTGTTGGGAAAATGGCGGATACACAATAGTTCTAGGCTAAATTAGGTAAAGATTCCATAAACACTCAAGGACGGTTTGGAAAAAGTAGAATTTCAAAAAAATGTGAAACTGAAAATCTACTCGGGCAAAATAAGGTATACATGTATTTCTGCATAAGAAAATAACCATGCTTTGGTAAATCAATTATGACAAAGTAAAACATGAGATACTGAGCCATAATTATGAGATAAAAATTCACAATTTTGAGAAGTCAGTATGTCATAAGACAAAATTACGAAATGAGTTTATGTAACTGCACCTTTAGTGTATCTCAATGTCAACTTGTTATAATTAGGATTTAGCAAAGCATAACTTTTTTATCTTATGTGGCAGAAATTGGCATCCATATGCTTGTCTTTTAGAATGAACCAGGAAATCAATAGAAAAAAAACATGGTTCAAGAGGGTGGCACTAGCGGTTTGAAATCAAGACCAGACAAGTTCAGACTCTCACCTCTTAATGTGCCAAATTTCCCTCCAAATGGATTTATTGGCTGCCATAGACTCCCAGCCAAAAACAATAGGAGCCTCCATACCTTCAGTGACTGTCCCTAAAACTAATGAAAAACGTCTTGGGTTAAGCATGCTTCCGTGAGAGGGAATGAGACACTGCATCCTGTAGCAGACACTTAGGGGACTGCCATCAGCAGGACCGGTGTCTGAAATACGTGTGAAACAACTACAACCCTATTGGCCCACGTAGCCAGTGAAGTCACAGGTGGGCACCTGGAAGTATAAGAGGGAACCTGCAGAACACGCCACCAACTTAGTTGTCTGAAGGAGATGTGAAACAGGCAGGCCGGAGGCATGGCGAGGTGACGCAGCATTTTATTCCCTCTCTGGGAATCATGGTTACATGCGTAACCACAGACGATCCCCTTCTAGGGAACTCGTGCTGTGTCCTCTAGCAGAGACTATGGGGAACAGAATGCCAACTATGCTATTGGTGAGAGAGCACCAAGGAAGTGACAGGCATACACCAAACCTTTCCGCAGAAAGGGGCCAAGCCACTGATGGCCCGGGCTACTCGTATAGCTTGGCAGAAATTGGGAACCCAGTATAAGATGAAAGAGGAACATCCACACCAAGTTAAGAACACAGCTACCCTCAGATAGCCATGTTATGTGAGCAACCCTTTAGCATGATAATACAAGGACCACAGATAGAGGCTACCTACTTAGAAACCCAAGCAGGGGGGATAGCAGAGTCTAAATAGGGGCTCCAATGGACCACTACTTAAAACCCTAGTAAGGGGAGTAGTCACCAAGCTAGGAAACAGCTATCCTCCAAAGGTCCTAAATGAGGATTGCCAAGACCACAGAGAGTGGGCGATCTACTTAAAACCCTAACAGGGGAGAGAGCACAGTCTAGGCAAGGGGCTCAAGGAGACCACTACTTAAATACCCTAATAAGGGGAGTAGTCGCCGAGCTGGAACACAGCTATCCTCGAACAGCAGTTTCCTCAGGCAAGGCTGAAGATAGCCCACTTTCCATGGTCTGGGCAATCTACTTAAAACCCTAACAGGGGAGATAACACAATCCAGGCAAGAGGTTCAAAAACCACTACTTGTTAACCCTGACAAGGGGGTAGTACTGAGCTAAAACACGGCTATCCTCGGATAGCTATCTTCCAAGGCAAGGACTCAGCGCCTACTTGAGAGTGTGGGCCAATAGGATTGGAGTGGTTTCACACGTGCTTCAGACACCGGTCCTGCTGGTGGCAGTTCCCATAGTGTTCACTAGAGGAAGCAACGCGAGTTCCCTAGAAGGAGAACCACTGGGGGGGAAGACAATAGCAGATAACGACAGTCACATATTCCTAAAAACTAAAATAACATCCAACTGTGCTCTCTGGCTTGGATTGAAACAAATGCTTCTATAGAATCTGAGTATATCTCTATCTACCTCAAGTTAAAGCACAGCTAAATAGCCACCCGAGGAAACTGTTGACATAATTATGAAGTGTTTTATATGAAAACTCTTAACTGCATGTAAAAAGAATCGTATCCTCAAATCTTTACATTTATATGCACTAACTAGTGTAATTACAATGGAAGGCTGTTTCCATTATAAGAGTAAAAAATGTATGTTCTTAAAAAGTCACATTGTGAGATATTAAGTCATAATTACAATAAACAAGTCAAACTGCATGATACAAAGTTGCGATTATGAGGAATAAGTCACAAAAATGTGCTGTGAACTATACCTTTGAAGAAATCAAACTGCAATTGTGTTGTATTAAAATGCAGTTGTGAAGTGTAAAGTCACAATTACTACAGTTTTTTTTGTACTAAGGCAGACACTAGCCCAGAGGTTTTCAACTCTGGCCCTCGAGATCCACTTTCCTGCAGAGTTTAGCTCCAACGTTGATCAAACTCGCCTGTCTGTAACTTTCTAGCAATCCTGAAGGCTTTGATTCGCTTGTTCAGGTGTGTTTGATTAGGGTTGGAGCTGAACTCTGCAGGAACGTGGATCTCGAGGGCCAGAGTTGAGAACTCCTAAACTAGCCTATATTTTAAACCCCAAATTTCCAATATACTTTTAAACCCAGTTGTATATAAAGGAAGGAATTTATCCTGAATATTATTCACACTTTTATTTATGCAAATAAAACTTTTCAAGCTCCAGGAAAACAACAAAAAATAAGTACATTTGTTACGGTAGCACATGGTTTTGTTTTTGCCAGCATGTCATGTTCATTTGATTAGGGATGAGGTTGGCACATGAGCGAAACAGTTTTTAAGATGGGCACAGATGCTGGATTATTCAACCCATGGCTGTGCATAATGTTTTTTTGAATGTTTACAATATGAAGTATGAATCATGCTCTCAGAAATCAGCTTTAGAGCACAGAACCCACGTGTGCATTGTAAAGTGGTCTTTTCTTGCAGGTAATGATACTGCAGTGATGGACAGTTTAAAAAAATCCATTAAGAGACCCCATCCATTAAAAAAATAAGTAAAAAGAAGTGACCTCTCCTCAGGTAAGGAATTACAAAAGTCTTAACACAGCAGAGTGCACTTCAAACCCACTTCCACTAAATTTCAACTGTATTGAAGGAGAAACTTAACTAGATTCCATCCCCAAAGGAAACCCTTCAGCCGCACAAATAAATGTACAATATTCACAGTATTTACATGGTGTGGTTCATCCAAAAACGGTCAGTGAGGCAGGCGTCCCATTGCTTTGCCTTTCATTTGTTCTCGAGGAGAGTCTTTATATCTTTAATACCGTGTTCTGACGCAACCGCGATCACGTGGTCTAAAGCGTTGAGCCGTCCCAGAAGCCTAACCACCTCCTTTATGTGTTCCCTATGGAGAGAAACAGTAACTGCATTAATAAAAAAATGGAATGATGCTTACGTTGCAGAGCCATTAATATAATGTACATATATACGTGAATGTTACATTTAAATTTTACATTGAAATAGTGAAGCATGTGAACATACACATACTAAATTTAAAATGTTAAAGGTCAGTAAGACTAATAATTTATATTTTCACAATTAATACTTTTTTTTTTTTTAATCAAGGATGCATTCAAATGATCAAAAGTGACAGTAGAGGCATACAATGTTACAAAAGATTTCCATTTAAATACTTCATATTCAAAGAAAAAATATCAACATGGTTTGCAAAAAATATTAAGCAGCACAACTGTTTTCAACATTAATCATAAGAAATGTTTCTCAAGCAGCAAATCAGCATATTAGAATGATTTCTGAAGGATCACATAACACTGAGGATTGGAGCAATGATGCTGAAAATTCAGCTTTGCCATCACAGGAATAAATCACATTTTAAAATATATTAGAATAAAAAATAATAACTTTAAATTAAAATAATTTCAAAATAAGTTTGTATTTTGGAGCATATACATATATATATATATTTATAAAGAGAGACAGCATAAATGTGTGTGTGTGTGTATATATATATACATTGATATCGATTACGATTATCAAGTGAACGATTCGATATCACAATTATATCAAATTTATTTTGTGCATTTTTATTTAATTATATAAGCAGGCTACTTTTTAAAAAATTATCACAAATTAATAATAAATCAAAACATTTGTTAAGAACTTAACCAAATAAATATAGCTTCAAAACATACAAGCAAATACAAATTAATAAAGGGGGAAAAAGACAGTTACAAGTGATAAACAGAAAGTACTTTAAGTATCTATGAGTGCTTTAAGTATCCGAAAGAATACAGACAATCATAGTTATGGGTTTTTTCTTTTATCCTCAGCATTATTGCTGTTTGATTATTACTGATGAGATCATAGACAGTGGCAGCTTTAATAGGCTGCATTCACACTAACGCCCAGATCTATTTCGACATATCAGATGTTTTGTCCTGTTCTTAAACATAACTGATTGTGTTTACATCAGTTTCGTATCAAAAGTATTCAGAGATGCAAGTGCATTTAACCGCAGCCGCGATCGAGCTTCAGGACAACAAACACACAGCAAAAGTTAAAGTCTGTCAGTACGTGAGTCTCGTGCATCAAATACATACTGCATTCCAAACGGCATAATTGGAAGTATATCTAAACTAAAACACTGAAATAACAGCGGGTGGAAGCACACAAGCAATGCGCACGTGTCTCACAGTGCATATCCTGTGCAATGAAGCCCGCAGCAATTGTCTCTAGCGCACACATGTGCCATATGTGGGAAAAATGCCCAGATCTCAGATTTTAAAATAGTGGGTGCATTTTTTAATTCTCGCATGACAAGCACGTAAGTGAATGACGTCAGTAGGCTATAATCGATTATGGTTTATTACTGCATCAATGCAGAATCGTCCACGTCGCGATGCATCGATGCAAAAATTAATTTCAACACCCCTCCGCGATCGAGCTTCAGGACAACAAACACACAGCAAAAGTTAAAGTCTGTCAGTACGTGAGTCTCGTGCATCAAATACATACTGCATTCCAAACGGCATAATTGGAAGTATATCTAAACTAAAACACTGAAATAACAGCGGGTGGAAGCACACAAGCAATGCGCACGTGTCTCACAGTGCATATCCTGTGCAATGAAGCCCGCAGCAATTGTCTCTAGCGCACACATGTGCCATATGTGGGAAAAAATGTGCCCAGATCTCAGATTTTAAAATAGTGGGTGCATTTTTTAATTCTCGCATGACAAGCACGTAAGTGAATGACGTCAGTAGGCTATAATCGATTATGGTTTATTACTGCATCAATGCAGAATCGTCCACGTCGCGATGCATCGATGCAACAATTAATTTCAACACCCCTTACACACACACACACATGCAGTGATTTCCTCACTAAAATTAGACAACAAGACGCACCCTCCCCCCCCTACACAATCACCCTAGACTCACATACTATGTTTATGTCTGTAATATCTTTGTGTGTCATCTACAGTGAGGTTGAGATGTTAACTCAAGGACATTAGAAACTGCTTTACCTCACGTTCCTCTTCTCCACGTCTGATCCAGCCACACAACTGCGGTAAAGACTGCTGGCCAGATGTTTCAAATATCTGCAGAAGTTCTCCAGCTGAGGAAGAGTCTGCTGTCCTTTCAGGCTGCTGAACCACTGCACAGGAAAACACTCCACCACCTGAGGGCAGCAGTGAGAGCAATATAGTGCTTTGAGTTGAAGGACATCATATGTAAACACTGTTTATATGAATATTAATTACAAACTACACAACTGATTTGTTACACAAAAATGTGGAGACAAGTCATACCCTGCGGCATTTCTCCACGTCTTCCTCGCTGATGTCTGTGGTCTGCAGGGCTGAGAGAATGTAGCGGTTTAGTGTGCTGTCCATGGCAAGCTCTTTCAGCACTGACGGAGACAGGATCCCATCCCATTTTAAGATATTCCCAAATAACTGAACACAAGAAAGAGATTCAGTTGGGAATAAGCTTGAACAAGTTAAAATCCAACTTACATATTTTCAAATATAAAAGGTTAAACTAAGATTAACTGATTCAAACGACAGCAGAAAGTCTTTAGAATATTTAATCATGACTAGCCATACCTTTACACAAGACCAAAACTGTCTCTGGGAAAAGAGGTAAGGACCAGAGTTCCTGTTCTCCATTACACTGTCAGGGGAGAAAACAAAAATTACACATCACACACTGGTTTACAAAACATATTTAGTCACACTCGAAACTAGACGATGTGAACAAAGAACAACATGTACAAACGGTGACACAACAGGAGTGATTCAGCTTTTACACTCACTTTTTTGGAAACAGAGGCAAGAAAATATCATCATCAAGAGTCTGTCGAATTCGCGTGACTATGGTCCTCAGAAGCTCCTGAAAACAGACAAATTCTTGCCTTAAGAAATTTCATTTCTCTTAATGAAACAATAATTTAACCCTGTATATGGAAAAAAAATTTAAATGGAAGTTTATTTGAGCCTTTAGACAAAATATAAAAAAATTAAAAAATAAATATGCATAATGCACATGTTCTTGCTGAGTGTCATATTTGATAAATCAGGCTTTTATGGCACATATAGTATAACACATGAGAAAATGGAGCTCATATTTGAGGGAAAAAAACACCTCAACTGTATTCATAAGCACAAACTGAGCAAAAATATGCAATTTGGTGTAGTAAGATAAAATTCTGAAAGCTTGTAATGTTGAGATCTTTATACAGACTACTTAAAATGCATATATATATATATATATATATACAAACACAATTCCAAAAAAGTTGGGACACTGTACAAATTGTGAGTAAAAAAGGAATGGAATAATTTACAAATCTCATAAACTTATATTTTATTCACAAATATATATATATATATATATATATATATATATATATATCTCAGTTGTCACTCTGTATCTTCCAATAATATGTCTTAGTAAGATGATATTTAAATGCATAATCTTGTGATTAAAACTAGGACAAAATATATGATACACTGCAATAGAATGAGAATCAAGTGATTTTCAAATACACATTCCTCAAAAGCCTGATGCATCACATTTAACTGGCATTTCAAAAGGAATTTTCTCAAAAAATGAATTATCAAAATTATCAAGTAAACGGCAAGTTGCTTCAGTTCAGTAAGTGTTCATCTTGAAACTAATAATACTATGAAAGTTCTTCTTACGTTTACTTTATAAAAACCATTAAAGATTTCACAGCAGAAAGACATGTTCCATGATAAAGGTGAACATTTTTTACAATTATACTAAAAGGCCTTTTACTTACTAACAAAAAGTACGAACTCCCAATAAGACAACATAAGGCATGTAGAAGAGTACAAGTTTTGATCATACTGATCATTTAGAGGCCTTATATTTGATGTGAAAAAAGTCTGATTAAGTAGAATTTAAAGGTTAAATCACACTCAAATGCAAAAATTAGGTCTTGTGGCTTTAATGCGTTGCAGTCTCATCCATTCACTGACTTGTGTGTTGCGGTTGTCGCCGTGCAGCACAGTCGGATAGTCTTTAATCAGCCTCTGCATGAACGTCACCAGTCTGGACGTCTGACTGCTGGAGAGCGGATCCCACACCTGATCCGTCAGCACTGAGGGGGTGAGACAAGGTGCAATTTGGGTTTAAGATGCTGTTCTGAAAGAAAGAACTGAACAATAATGATGGGATAGACTAACCTGCCAGTTTAGGAAGCAGCACTCTTTCCACAATAGCAGGAAGCAGGCTGTTATCTGTGTCTTCCTCTTTCTTCAGGGCGCTCTGCTCCCCACAGCCATAGAAAAGCAAAGACTCAAACCACAGCATGTACTCAAAATTGGGACACTCCACCTGCATAGACAGATACAAATGGCATAATTTCGGCACTTTAAGATAAAAATGTTTAGGCGATGCAAAGCAGATCATAAAAATGTGGTGGTGGGGACGTGTTCTCTGTACCTGCAGTGGAGACCATGAGACGAGCTGTAGTCGAATAAGAGGGTTGAAGAGTTTGGGCAGACACAGTCCGATGTAGGCATCTCTATAGCATGTAAAATACAGCTTTCTCCAGGTCTCAAAGTGAGACTTTATGTTGTCCAGTGAGTGGAAATCCTCCACCACATCCTCAAAAACCTGCTTAGACTCTTTTAAAATGCGATCTGGAAATCAAAAGGATGAATTGTTAATTGAGAAAAGAGTGAAAACTAACCAGCAAAAGCCGATCTCGTACTGGTGTGAGTTAACTTGGTCACCTCTTTCTGAGTTGTAGCTGGTGATGTCAGTGGATGTCTCTTCATCATCACTGGACAGCCCCTCCTTATGCTCGGCTCTCTTGCCGTTCTGCTCTCGAGCTTGTCTGCGACGAGTTCTGTTCAGAAGTATCAAAAATGAATGAATTATAACTGAAATATATCACAGAAACTCTGCCTAGAGTAGATCTGGGTTTTGAATTTCTGATTCAATCTAATTTAGATGCACTAGCTATTTAACAAGCAAATATTAAATAGTCATATGTTCCATATACACATTACTTTATAATCAAAAGTAGCCATTATTAAAAGTGGTATTAATGTACTTTATTGATAAACAAGAGACAGCTGAAAACATACCATCTTGCTGCTCTTTTGCAAAAAAAATTTGGCCATTACAATTTACAGAACAAAGCTAATTACTGTATTTTAAAAAATATTTGTAATGAGGATTATATGCTTTGGCACATGCCATTATATGACACATATATATACACACACACACACACACACAGGAGATCAAAATTAGAGAACAATCCATAAATACTAATAGTTAAACTTCACCACTCAAAATTTGAAGGAATATTAGCAGTGGGTAACTAACACTGTTCTACTAACATGTTTGACAAAATAACCAAAGCATTTCAACAAAAAACTATATTTAGTGGAAAACACAGTGATCAAAATTAGAGAACAGTAACCACCGTAGCACGAAAGAAGATTACAACTAAAATTTTGAAGAGTTAGCTGTCAGAAATGAGCAGGAAGTGTAGAGGCCCTCTCTTTGAATGTCTGGTGTGATCTTGGTCCACTCTTCTTCATATCTCGGGAATTTCGGTCTCTCGGGAAAGGATTTTCCAGAGATTTTAAGTTGGGTATAGATCAGGACTCTCAAACGATCGATCGATAATTAATTGAAATACATGCTATAATTCATTCAAATAAATGTGGTCTTACCGCACTATTTCATCTCTGTGTATGATCTGAAGTTAGCAGAATGCTAGCGCTAACGTGCCGTAACTGACGAAAATAACTCAGTTGACCCATTCGGTCAAATATTGTGCTGCAAAAAGCAATACTAGTTTTAACTTGTAAATGCACTTCGCAGAGGCAACCACCCTCCGCTTCTCATTGTGCATTTAAAATCATTTAATGCACGGCTAGCCGTTGATTATCCCTTACATATATACATGTGTATATATAGATAAAGTGAAAGTATACCGTCTGGCTTCTCTTTCAGCTATCCTCCTCTGCTTGGCCAGCTCCTGATAGGCTGTGCGATCTCTACCGAATGAGTCCAAATTAGGTACCATAACAGCCTTACCTGAAACAGAAAAACTAATATTAACTCACAGTAAAGCTGAGCTCACCAGCTGTTACAGCCTATACTGACAGATTAGATAGTCATGATAGTCATTACCTACTCATTAATATAGCATAGATGTTCATGCATTAGGCCACAATTTTTAATATAAATTTAGTTAAAAAACAATTTATTCCATGCACAGTGCTTAATGGGATAGTTCACCCATTTCATTTCCATTTCAAGTTCCAAACCTGTATGAATTTATTTCTTCTGTTGAAAACAAAAAGATATTTTGAAGAATGTTGGTATCCATGTAGCCAGTCACTTTCATAAAATGGAAAAAATATACTATGGAAGTCATTGGCTACAGTCAACTGTTTGGTTACCAACATTCTTCAAAATGTTGTCTTCTGTGTTCAAAAGAAAAAAGTCAGTCATACAGGTTTGGAACAACGACAGGGTGAGTAAATGATGACAGAAATTAAGATATTTTTTTGGGTGAACTTTCCTTTTAAGTTGTTTTCCCTCTTCTCCTGACATCATCAGGATTAATTTACAACTAGAAGCTGATTTTGATCTACCTGCTCAATTTTACTGGGGTGACATTGAAACTCTCCTCCAAAACACTCACCTGCTCAGCATCTTAGCAATGTTTCAGTATAAACACTGACCAATAAGAAGTGAGTGAGCTTTCACCATCCGAAAGCCACATACACTTTTACTTGTCTCAATCAAACACACATACGTGCACCCACAGGACAGTCTCTTTGTGTATTATTCTGATGTGTAATTAATTACAACTATATAACAAAAACAGGAAGAAAAAAAAAACAATGAGGCCATTCAAATAAAAAATAAAAACCTTCAAGATGGACTGACTTGAAAGGCTGGAAAACTCCGACGATTCATCTTTAATATCATCCTGTCTTCTCTGGACGAGACGGGACGCCCGCTGCCGAAGTAGCTGGTGCATGGCGACCTCAAGCTCCAGAATAACAGGCACCTGAAAGATATGATGATTTTTGTGACAACTGAACTGAAGACAAGTGGCCGGTGACCGAGACGAGGGGTTCAGTGTGTTCTGCTGTGGCATGGGAGAGAGAAAGTGGCAAAACCAGACCAAATTTAGCCATAATTAATAAGCTCTGGACATAAAGCCCATTTAGAGCTGAATCAAAATCGGCTTCTCCCTGTGTTAATGCTTCATGTTATTTAATTATTATAAGCCCAAAAAAAATTAAAAATGGCTGAGTAGTTTGAAACTACTGTTAAAGACTTCCGGAAAACCCCCGTTGGTGGGTATTTTGACATTCATTTAACGTAATAAACGGATACAAACAAAATAGTTCAAATCATTTCCCATATGATTTATGACCACTTATTACTTTTAATATTTAAAAAAAATGGTTCAACGACACTGTAAACTAGCTAGTTAGCTACCTAGCAGCTAACAAACCTATGACTTTCTAAATAAAGTGACAAGTTCTTAGATAAATCAGTATATAAAGGATCCCCCCCTCCCCCCCAACTAATAACACTTTTGATGATCTGTTCTCCATGCCCCATCAAAGACACCATGATTTGTGTATATAGTGCTTCTTTATAGCTGAAAAAAATTATGGAAACACAGAAAAACCATCTTGCTGTGGGAAAAAAGATGGAAGTTTACACCATAATCCATGAGCTGATGAAAATATGACCTGGTGCACTACTGAAAATTCAGAGTTTTATAAATGATCACCATAAACATGAACTAGGACAGCGGTGGCGAACTCCGGTCCTGGAGAGCCGTAGCCCTGCAGAGTTCAGCTCTAACCCTAATTAAAACTCACCTGCCTGTAGCTTCCTAATAACTGTTCAGACCTTGATTAGCTTGTTCAGGTGTGTTTGATTAGGGTGGAAGCAAAACTCTGCAGGGCTGCGGCTCTCCAGGACTGACGTTCGCCACCCCTGAACTAGGAGTATATATGAAGTAAGGTAATTTTAGTTTAAAATATTTTTAAAGTCTAACTAACTACACAATGCTGCTGACACAGGCAACATTCAATAAACTTCAATCACAAAGAAATACAGTGGCAAGATTAGGAAAAGGGGGGTGGGGGGGACTTAAAAATGCAAGCCAGTGAAAAAAAAGCAGCAGCAACATTAAAAACAAATGCATTCATTCTTACCTTTTCACTGAAACACTCAAGCAAGTCTCCAACATACCCTCGCATTTCTTGCAAGAATCTATATTTGTCTGCGGCCTCCTGTGAGGAGCCCTCCAGGAGCTGGATGGTCTTTTTGGAGGCCTCCAGCTCCTCCTGGATCTGCTCAAAGCGCCGGGCATTGGAATCGTGCCCCTGGCGCATGAAGCTCAGCCTGGCATACAGGGGAGTCAAAGAGAGATTTATTATTAGTGAAGAATGGGGACATCACTAGAGTCGCACATGTCCTGATTAGGCATGGGCCGGTATGAGATTTTGACGGTATGATAACCTTAAGCTAAAATATCACGGTGTCATGGTATTGTCGTTACAGCTCTAAAATGTGTTATTTTTAAATGACTGGGTAAAAAAAAAAAAAAAAAATTTCTGCTGAACACAATATATTTTGTTTTTGAGCAACATACAGAATATTAGGAACAGTAGAATGTTTATTTTTTTCTTTGATTTGTTTCCTAAAAAGAATCTTCATCTTTATTTAACCTGAATCTGTAATTACAGTCATTTAATTTTAGTTATATAATTTCATATACATAACTTGACTTGATAATAATCCAATTTGAAGCAAAAACAGAATGTTCTGTTCTGACTAGCTTTGTGAAATTATACTACATGCCTGAAGGAAACAAACAGCAGAAGCTCTGAATGAGACACAGATTCACTCTCTGACAGCAGGAGGCGCTTCTCAAACACCAGATACAGCGTTTCTGAAGTTTCTGAAGACAGTCAGTTACCCTCAGAAACATTCATATAAACCACCAAATCAATATTGAGGATTTTCTTCCAATAGTTCGTACATCATGAAGAGTGAGTGATCTGCCTGCTACAGTATTTTTCTCTTTGTGTACGTCTTCAGCGTCTCTGGCCTGTGTTAACGGGCGTTTACAGACTTCATATTTTCACATAAATTACATTTTGGAAAAGTATTGCATTGCAACGCAGTTTGTGCAAGTCCAGAACAGAGACGAGCTGCAATAAGACAAAAAACGTCTGGTTGCTGATCGCGTAAATTCCAGGGGCAGCTCCTTAAAGGGTTAGTTCACCCAAAAATGGAAATTAGCTTGTTTTTTACTCACCCTCGAGGTATCCTAGGTGTATATGACTTTCTTCTATCAGACGAATCCAGTCGGAGTTATATTAAAAATTGTCCTGGCTATTTCAAGCTCTATCATTGCAGTCAGCGGGTGTTGCAGTTGAACAGTCCACAAGTCGTCAAATAAAGTGTGCGCATCCATAATAAAATGTGCCTCACACGGCTCCGGGGGGTGAATAAAGGCCTCCTGCAGCGAATCCATGTGTTTTTGTAAGAAAAATATACATATTTCAAACGTAATAAACACTTTTCTCTCACTTCCAGTATCGGTCATACGCAGAAGCCATTCTGGCAGATAACGTAGTACGTCGGCGTTGCATGATAAGTGACGAACGCGGAGAGAGAACAAAAAAGCCCGTCATGAATTAGAAGTACAAACCGAGGATTTGCAAAGGAAAAATGTCAGAGGATTTTGATATAAACTAAGAGGAGACTGGTTTTCCTTTGCTAAAGTAAGGAAACCTTGCTTCCTTTGCTCCTATAAACCAACTCACGAGACTAGCATACCTCAGAGGCACGCATGCAGAGCATACGTGCTGCGTCATCTGCCGGAACGGCTTTGGAAAACTCATGACAAAAACGGTATGACAGATACCGGAAGTGAGACAAAAGTGTTTATTACGTTTGAAATATGGATATTTTTCTTGCAAAAACACATGGATTCCCTACAGGGGGCCTTTATTCACCCCCCGGAGCCGTCGGCGGCACGTTTTATTATGGATGCGCACACTTTATTTGACGACTTGTGGACTGTTCAACTGCAACACCCGCTGACTGCAATGATAGAGCTTGGAATAGCCAGGACAATTTTTAATATAACTCCGACTGGATTCGTCTGAAAGAAGAAAGTCATATACACCTAGAATGCTTCGAGGGTGAGTAAAACAGTCTTAATTTTCATTTTTGGGTGAACTAACTCTTTAAGTTCGGCCATCCTACATTCACGTGACTGACTACTCGCACCAACAGGAGGAGGAGGGTCATGTTACTCTCTACACTGCACTCAACCTGAGGGATTCCTACACTTTCAGTCTTTGAGGAGATATGAAAAACAGCACATACCGCAGGAACGGTATAACGGAAAATATTAGTGGTTTTGAAACAGTGACATTTTCAAATCGCGGTATATCTTGAAACCGGTAATCGGCCCATGCCTAGTCCTGATGAAGACGGTTTTGTCTAAAAAATGTAATTGAGTCTGGAAAACAATTGCAGATTTTAGTATCTGCAAATCAGCTTAACATGGTGCTGAAACATTGCCCGCGATAGCCAGAATCAGTGCGAGGAGAATTGTGGGAACTAAAAACTATAAAGTGTTGGTACATTTAAAATCTTAGGAAATTCCAACTTGCAATTTGAGGGTTTACAATGGTCGCCAATGAGCAGGCAGTTCAGACCGTACCTGTCTTTGAGACGTTTCTTTACCAGATCTGTGGTTATAAGGGTCAGGTCACAAGAGGGAATGGGATAGGGAACTGAGGGCTCTGCTTTCAAAGGCTTGCTGTTGTCTGCTCCAACTGTGGCAATGGCGTAGCTAAAGGGCATGGCATAGGATGCTCCATACGGCTGTGCATCATAACTGCCTTGGTAATACATAGTTGGGTCCTCGGATTGGGTGGTTTGGACCTAAAATATCAAAAAAGGATATGACATTAAAAGGATCAGATTGTCAGCTTTAAATATTGTGATTTCAAAGTGTGTGTGTGTGTGTATGTACTGTATGTATGTATATGTATGCGTGTATGCATGTGTGTGTATATCCAGAATATATATATACATATATAATATACATAGAAACTTCATTATAATTATACTGGGGTCAGAAATGTTTGTTTTTGAAGACTGCATTTAATCAAAAACACAGTAAAACCACTAATTACTGTTTTCTATTTCAATATATTTTAAAAAGTAATTTATTCATGTTATGTCAAAGCTGAATTTGTCACATGATCCTCCAGAAATCATTCTAATGTTAATTTGGTGCTCATTAAATATTTTTTATTATGATTTTATGTTGGAAACAATTGTGCTTTTTAATATTTTTGTGGAAACAGTGAAAGTTTTTTTTAGGATTCTTTAATGAACAAAAGTTCAAAAGAACAGCATTTATTTGAAATAAAAATGTTTTGTAACATTATAAATGTCTTTACTGTCACTTTTGATCAATTTAATGCATCCTTGCTGAATAAAAGTATATTAAAAAAAAAAAATCTTACTGACCCCAAATATGTGTGTATACTGTATAGAAAGCAAGAAAGAGAGACAGCGAGAAATTACTGTCTATTGTGCTACTGATATTAATTAATAGATAGACAAAAATAGTCAAAAATATTCACTGATCTTAATTTCTTAACTTGAATGCTACATGCCATAGTTTCAATTTGTTAACATTCACAATAAGTATTAACTTTAAAAATAAAGGAACTTGTTAAACCAAATTTTAACTGTTGTATTGAAATAAGCATTGACAATATAAAATATTCAGGAATTTTTAAAGGGGAAAAAAAGTAAAATGTACATACACACACACTGGTACTGGTATGACAACTGAAATGTGGTTATTGTGACAACTCTAGTACTCTGACCCACCTGCGGGATGCTAATGCCCTTCCTGATCTGCTCCTGCTCCCAGCGACTCACTTCCTCATCCTGCCCATCATCTAGAGCTTCATCGTCACTGCATTCAATACCTGAACCACAACACACACACACACACACATACATTCAAAACAAACACTACGCTCAGATCTTGGTTCATTGCACATCTTTTCCAGTATCTGACTTCTTACAAAAGTCCTATTCATACTAATTCAGTCTTTTTTGTGTGACTTATTTAACATGAGATGACATTTATTACAAGGACAACCAGTCTGGAGAGCGTGTTAATGGGATTCCTAGAATTCTACATAAATAGGAGCTTCAGATGACTAGCTCCGAGCTCATACACTGACCTATCTCCTCAGCTATTTTCTGCCTCTGAGTCTTTATCTTGACTCCACTGAAAACAATTCTCTCCTCGTCTTCGTCGTCACTGCCGCCGTTCTCATCTTCACGGGCGAGGCGCTTGTTTGTAACCTCATTCTCCACCAGCGGAGGCTCACCCCCAAGCTCTCGAGCCATCTGCCTACGTTTACGAGCAGCATGAATGAAGGCCGCGTCGGGGATCTCACCTGTTGAAACGTATGACAGTTATCATTAGTGTAAACACAATGAAATCACTTTCACAAGAATTAGTTTATCCAGAAAGAACCTAAATGGACTAAAAGAATTTGCCATATAAAAACGTGGATTTGATCAAATGCAGTGTTTAACAACATTCAATGTAGGGCTGCACGATTAATTGAAATTAAATTGCAAAAGCGATAAATCGCAATTAGGCAGAAACTGCGATTGTCATGCGTATCTTTCAGTGAAGCATGGTTCTGTGATCAGCCATAAATCTCCATCCGAAGGCCAGAGGGCACTCTCGCGCTGAAACTCCAAATACACCTCGCAGAAGAAATCCAGGAAATCCCTATAGCGGTTGCTGAATAAACAGAAGATTTAACTGCTTTCATTGATTCAACGTGACTAATAAACACACGACTACGACAATATATGGTTTATCTGAGTTCATCTTATCATTTTTATTATAATAAAGTATATAATAATGCAATGCTAATCGACATAACCTTTATCACTGCTTAGAATGCTATGAAATATGTTGCGTGCCTTATTCTGTGTAAGAAGCCACATCATCTCACAGAAGGATTTACTTCAAACACTCGATTAACGTTAAGATGCGAGTTTGGAGTAAAAACATGTTATTAAATGTGGTATTTTCAAGTGCTTTCAGATGGAGCAGCATTTACTACACAGAGCCGTAGTTCACTGACAAGCTACGCAAACAGCTTTTCATAATTTCATAATTGCGCGATTACATTTTCTGCGATTATGAACGTAATTTTGCGTAGCTTGTAAGTGAACTACGGCTCTGTGTAGTAAATGCTGATCCATCTGAAAGCAAGTGAGTAACAAATAAAAAGAAATACATAAATATTATAAATAAATACACAGATTAGAAATAAACATTAAGAATTAAACAGTATAATTATAAGATTAAAATAAATGTATTATTTTTTTATTAATTTTAAAATGAATAAGATTGTTTGTAATATTTAAATCTTTACTATGTTTTAATGAGTAGTGTAAGACAAAAACAACAAGAAAGAAAATCTGTACAGCAATATAAGTTTAAGAAATCAAGAATTAATGGGCTTTATACTATAAATCATATATACAGATAGACAGGCAGACAAGCAGACAGACAGACAGACAGACAGACAATAGATAGACAGACAGATAGACAGGCAGACAGGCAGACAGACAGACAGACATACAATATATAGACAGGCAGACAGGCAGGCAGACAGACAAACAAACAGACAGACAGACAGACAGATAGATAGATAGACAGAGAGACAGACAGACAGACAATAGATAGACAGACAGATAGACAGGCAGACAGACAGACAGACAGACAGACAGATAGATAGACAGAGACAGACAGACAGACAGACAGATAGATAGACAGAGACAGACAGACAGACAGACAGATAGATAGACAGAGACAGACAGACAGACAGACAGATAGATAGACAGAGACAGACAGACAGACAGACAGATAGATAGACAGAGACAGACAGACAGACAGACAGATAGATAGACAGAGACAGACAGACAGACAGACAGATAGATAGACAGAGACAGACAGACAGACAGACAGATAGACAGACAGATAGATAGACAGACAGGCAGACAAACAGACAGACAATAGATAGACAGACAGATAGACAGGCAGACAGATAGACAGGCAGACAGGCAGACAGACAGACAGACAGACAGACAGACAGATAGATAGATAGATAGATAGATAGACAGATAGATAGATAGATAGATAGATAGATAGACAGACAGACAGACAGACAGACAGACAGACAGACAGACAGACAGACAGACAGACAGACAGACAGACAGACAGACAGATAGATAGACAGATAGATCGACTTACATTGTAAAAACTCCTCCCTAGTCTTGGGATTATTGGTGGCAGTGATCTGGATGTATTTCACTATGGAGACCAATGGAAAAGTGTGATGTTTTTATGCAAAGATCAAATGTATTCATTATACAGTTTAAACATTTATACAAAATGAGTACTATCTATCTATCTATCTATCTATCTATCTATCTATCTATCTATCTATCTATCTATCTATCTATCTATCTATCTATCTATCTA